AATTACTCCAGTTCATTTATCAACATGGAAAGCTGAGTATATTCCTGTTTCACGTTCACTCCTCAGAATGGGAGAGCCTCAAAAAGAAAAGACATGCAATTCAGAAATTATATTAACAAACCATTTAAGAGAAGTACCTGGCATTCCCTGTCAATCGGAGGAGACTGTCTTAAGCTCAGCTCAGAGGTGACCATCCACATGGTTTCACCAGAATTTACACGTGCTTAACTGGGATGTGGACTGATCTCTTTTTTGCTTTGGAGTCAACAGGTGGGACCGCCGACAAAATGTTGCAAAGTGGAGGGTTGAGGTGGTAGTAGCCCCTCCTAAGATACACCATCTCTCCCTACAACAGTCACTGGGCCCAATAAGCATGTGCAGTCTTCACTGAGCCAGGTGGGGCTCCCACCTGGGCATTTCTTCTGAAGTTTCTTTGTCCTTCTGCAAAGCGTGGGCTTCCTCAAAGCCTTCGTACACCTCTTGTGTGTGCATGGTGTCATTCTGGCTATATAAGGATAGACATCCTGAAAACTGAATTCTCTTCTGGTACTTTGTGTGCTGTTGACGAGAACTCAGCAGTCTTTTCTTGTATACATTTCAGAGAAAAAGTTTGTACATCATAAAGAAGAAGCAAAAATATTGAATTTCTGCCTCCTTGGGAATAAACATACAGCAAAGTTTATTTTTATTAAGGCTGTAACATTTAGGTACCAATCCTATGCAAGTTTAGATAGAAAGAAGTGGTACAATTCTCAGCATTCCCTATATTGACAGAGAAATGCTGGCTGGGGATGCTAGGAGTTGTAGGACTTTTTCTGTCTAAACCTGAATAGGACTGCACCCTTAACGGGCTAATAAATTATAACAATTTAATGTTTTGTCATCTTAAAAATTGCCTAGTAATTCAGAACAAAGTTTGAAAACAAAGTATAATATTTAACAAAATTGCTTATTTTAAAAACTGCCTGTGGGAAAGCTTATCTTAAAATAGGCATTCCTTTTCTTTTTCTTGAGAGGGTACCTGCCATCTGAGGTGATGCCCCACAGAATTCATGCAGGGATTTTCCAAAGACAAAAGGGCTCTCAAGCTAGTGTTTTGACTAACAGGAAAATCTAAAAGCAATCAGTTTGTATTCACAAGAAGCATCCTAGGCACATCTGTTCAGAAGTAAGACCCATTAACTTCAGAGGGACTTGCTCCCAAGTAAGTGTGCATAAAACTGCAGGCTAAATCAACTGAAACTCATACGATACATTCAGGTTTGTGTAATCTGGCAACAGCTTTGCTATAAAGCTTGATGCTGCACTGAAAAGCAGGATTTCACAGTATCTAGTGATATGGTATGGATTCAGTTTTAGGGTAGCGACTCAAAAGAAGTGGGTTTTTTCTTAAACGGATATAATCTATAAGGAAAAGGGTCTTTCTGAATCTGACATACACATAGAGAAAGAAATTTTAAAGAGGCACCAAAACCACTAAATCTCTTGGATGATCTCAGCTTGGTTGTCTATTTTTCAGACTCAGCATGAAGCCACCAGATGGGCAAAACAAAAATGATTTCTCAAGGGTGCACGCAAGAAACACGGAAACATGCATGCGGCAAAACTGTTATTAACTTCAAAACTAGATGGAGGAGTTTGGCAGATTTGACAATGACTAGGGAAGAAACATTCAAACGCTGCCATAATCCTTTAATAAAGGGCTCAGCAGGCTGTAAACATCATCCCGCCGGAATCGAAGATTATCATTGAAAAATAAAATGAATGGTTTTGCAAAACAACTATCAATTCAGCACAATAACTATTTAGACATCCCCGCACCACAAAAGGAGAAGGTGTACGCAACGTGAGGCTTTCAAAGGCTACCCTAAAAATATAGGATGCAAGCAGTGGATGTTCCCCCGTATGAAACTCCTTGTGAAACTCTGCCAAGATGGAGGACAACTAAACTGGCAGGTGGTGTAATTTGTTAAACATCTAATTTACCAAACTCATTGGCTCAACAAAGAAACATACATTCCTGGAATTAAAAGGGTATGAAAGATCGTAGCGGTACTCCCTTTGTGGAGACCACATGGACAAGAGTTGGCCCAACGCAGTTTGGCAACAGAAGGCAGAAATCCAAAATGGAACTACTGTGGTTGTAGCATGCAGCATAATCGGGTCAGACGAAGAGGTAGGGGAACATGTAGGTTACAGGGTTGAAGAGCAGCTTCGGGGGGGTTACTTGTTCACTGCAAGTGGAAGCCATGAGGAAAAAGACACTAGGGATGGGGGTGGGGGGAAGATTCTCTCAGGATACTGGTGGAGAGAAAAGACCCTCCACTCATCTGTGAGTGCTTCTGTGTAGAAGTATCAGAAAAGAAACTCAAGCATAATGACCAAGAGTGGTTCAGGTCCCTAAGAGGAAGCTTCACGTGTTAGGAAACCATTAGCAGTGGTCCTGAATGGTGTAGCCCTAAGTGCCTGATTCTGCCTCATCTCGGCTGCTAAGCAGAGTTGGGCAGGGTTGAAATCTGGATGGGTGCCTTGAGTCCTGCATTGAGCAGGTGATTGGACCTGAGGGCCTGCTAGACCCCTTCCAACCGGATGGTTCTATGCCTCCAAGGGAAACCCACTGTCCTACCCAACGGCACTCCAAATCAGGACTTAGCAAGAAGTAGCGCTCTCACAGAAGCCCTGATGAAATTAACACAAGCGGTGTCGTTTCCACATGACTGGCACAGGAAAAGTTCACCCCGTCTTGGAAGCTTCTATTCCTCTGCACTCCACTGCCCCCCAAGCCCCCATCTCTGCAGACCGTCATGGGGAGCACCATGGCTTGAAAGGAAAGAGAGCTGCAGATGTGCCCAAGAACTGGCCCATTATTTCTTTGTGTGAATGGAAGATGTCAGAACTGATCTGGCTCCAAGATACTGTTGTATTCTTTTACCAGCAGCTATTGTAGGGCTGAAAATAAAGGAGGAAAGAATAGCAGGGCAACCTATATGGATTTATCAGTTGAACTGGAGGTTTGTTGGATAGCATCAGTAGAATGGAAGAAATATTTGATTTCTCGGATGATCAACTTCTCCTCTGAGGTTAGTGAAGCAATAGGTTACTCAGATGTGGTGCACACACAAAATATTCATTCTACACACACCGGAGCGCAATATCACTTGAAACAAAGCTACAAAAACGAATTCAGCTGTGAGCGCATCACACAGAAATGCAATCCCACCACAAGTGTGGTGTGCAATCACAATCAACTGTACATTATTGTACATGGAAATGGGAAATATGGCTATTTTTGAACCTAAATCCTCTGAAAATAACTTTACAGCTCCTTTCAGCTGACTCCTATTTCCACTTTCAACCTTTTTTGGCTCTTGCTTGAATGGGGACAATGTGTATTTCTATGCGTGTTTTTTTCAAAAGCATGAAACTGCTTAAAGAAAAAATGTGCATTTCCAAATGCATAATTTTTAAAAAATCAAATTCAATCACAGTTTGTGAACATTTCTAGAAGAAAAGCACAGCTGCTTGTGATTCACATTCAGGATTGTGAATGAGATATATTTGCATCATGTGTAAAACAGAAAACAACATTCTCGTACACGCTTAGTCATATGTTGCCCCCTAATTGTGTGTAAGCTTGATGTTCTCGGGAGTATGTAACTACTGCGCTCAACATTCACACGGTGCGACAACAGGTTGTAAGTAGCATGGGCCTTTCATTAAAACCAGTAGCTAGGAATGTATGACAATTTTGCTTGTTTGCAAATTACTCAAAACTTTCCTGCTTGCAACCCGAATCACAAACGGAAATACACGTTCTCCCAAAAGGTTTGCAAATTCCCACTACGTTTTTAAAAAAATAATGCATAACTTCTACATTCATAACCTTCTATATTTGCATTTTTCTGTATTAATGGGGAAAATGCACACTTTTGAAAAGGCATAGTTTAAATTGTGCATTTTTACACTGTGATCAATATGAGAATTAAACATTTAGGGAAAGTGTGCATTTTTCCCATTCGAACAAACCCAAATTAGAGGTTGCAAAGAAGAACAGGAGAGAGCCTAGCCAAGATTTGAAGTAATGTTTGGATAATTTCAGCTCCTTCAAGCACCTTGTCAAGCTCTCTCCCTTCCAACTTTTACTACAAAGTTGTCTCATATGTTGTTGCCAACATGTTTCCATAGATATGATCCACATCACTGACTGCCACAAGCAATAGCAAGGAACATACTCTGGAAGAACCAAATCCAGGAAGGGAGATGGGGAACATTCAAAATAGGGCTTCTTCAAGATTTGCTGCTCAGTCAGCTCTGACTACCAAACCCTGTGGAAAACCCCAACCATGAAGCACACACGTGAGCCATGTCTAAAAAGTACCCCAGTCTAAACCAGATATTATTCTAGAAAAGGGAATTTCTTCTTCTGTAACTCCCCCCAAAAGCTTCTAGGATCTATACACTCTCTTCAAGACACCCTGACTGAATGATCTGAAATGCAAATAGGCAGGGTAAAGTTAAATCCTCTCATGCACAGGGCAGTTCCTACATCTCACATGGCATCTTCCACAATTCCCTCTCTTGTGCGTACATGCGTGCAGACGCAAACACACTTCCCCACTAGAAAATATCACCTTATACGTTAAGCAAGGTAAAAGTGCAACAGTGTGTGGCTGATGTGGGAATCCTAAATTGCTTAACATAATGCTGGTTTGATGGCTTGCACAAAGAGCATCGCTCTGCTAAAAGCATGGCATGTTCTTCAGCAGGGCACAATGTGGCACTGGCTGACTTACTCACGGGTAATGCCTCACCAAAAGCCGCTCTGCACAAAGAAAGTTCTGGGCATAAAGAGACAAGGCACAGAGATGCTAAACAACACACAGCTGCAAAAGAATAGTTCGCCTACACCATGCTGGTTGTTGGGTGTGTATTCAAGGCTCCCAAAAAGCCATAGTAAAAAGCATTCGCAGTACGCTGTGTTGATCCACACTGCAACTTACCTTGCCAAACTGTTCAAAGTATTGCTTTACATCTTCCACTACTGTATTAGCCGATAATCCACCTACAAATATTTTCTTTGTTCTTGTGACCATCTGTAAGAAAGCAGAAAAAAGAAAGGGGAAAAAGAGCATTAGCCCAGATTATTAAAAAACAAAGCCTGTCACAGACAAAGTTTTCAGATGCTATCCTTAATCCCGTTAACGAAAAACTCTCCGCATGAAAAGGAATGTATATTCAATTCAATTATATGGAGTACAACTGTTTGGTTAAGAGGGCTTTGATGGCTGGCCTTAGGCATTCACCAATCCCAGTGCCCACTGGGTATTTTCTTTTAATAAGCATTTTCATTTTGAAAAGGTTTCCCACTCCCTCACCCTCCTATAAAAACGAAAAAGAAGTTGCAGCCAAGCATCAAACATTTCCTTCAGCCAGACCAGTACTGCTTCAAAGTAAGTCCAGCACACCGGCCGGCTGTCTCCCATGACTTCTACATTCAACATTTGTATCCCCATCTTCCTCCAAGGAGGTCAGGAAAATGTCTTCTGTTCTTTAGATCCCTGAATCTGTTGTCTTCTGGATCAAACCAGGAGGTGTGCTTTTCTCATACATTCAAAAATACATTTTGTCCTTTTAAAAACTCTCAACTCGTTGCTTACCAGCCCAAAATGTTTGCATTACAGTTCATAATGATTATCCATAATCTTTTCAAGCTTCTCAGAGCACGAGGCACAAAACTCCTCTTGGCAATACTGGACAGCCTCCTGCAAACCCAGCCAGGATGTCTAAGGATGCTCCCACATGCTCCTGCAGGACAGGGATGCTTCAGGGGTCCCGCTATACCTCCACACGGGAAGCCTCTGCTTTTATGTGAGAGGCAGGGGACCAACGAGCATGGCTGAAAACCCCTCCCTGCTCCCCAGGGGCATATAGGGAGGCAGACAGATGGGACACCGTTCAGTTTTTCAACATGTATTTCATGCAGCCTGGTGCACTCAAGCACGGGCTGGGAATCACATATCCTATGATCCCCATGATCCATGAGGTATATTAGCTTGCTTCTTGGGGGAAGCAGGATTTGAAATCCAAGTCTCCACAACTGGGAGCCATTACTCTGGCTCCTACACCACAGGGCTAGTTTGCGCGTACAGCAGAATAAGCCAAAACATGGGGTTGAAGGACACGCGGTGCCATTTCAGACTTGCAGGTTGCGGAATCACAGTGTGGAATGACCCATTTATTTTATCTATTATACTCGCTTTCATATTTTGCCAGGTTGCTATGCTATGCTCTGTTTATTTAAACTGTTTATTTGTTTGCTTTATACTTATGTTAGATTTTGTTACTTTTACTTCATTCTTTGTTTTGTTATTATTATTTGTCTATGTAGGTGCTGAAATACAGTTATTATTGTACAGTTAATACAGTTGTTATTGTATCGTTATCTTATTACATTGTATTGTATTATATTAGTGTATTTATTATATTTTTTGGTGTATTTTTATGACTGTGAACTGTTCAGAGCACCAGTTTTGGCTAGGAGAAAAGTATACAAACATCTGTATAAATACACACACATAACAACAACAACATATACCCCTCTCCGCACACATTTTGCCCAGGCCAAAGACGATCAAGGCCCAGGCATGAGGTCCTTTGCTTCAGTTTCCCCCACAGCAAAACTCATCTTCTCAAGCATTCTCCAACACCACAAGAATGGCCTTGAACATCACAATGGGCCCTGAAAATCTATATAAATGACCAATACACTGAAAGGGCACATAAACACGTGTATGTTAGGAGTCCCCTTGAGTAAAGATTCTCTGAAGCCTCTCTCCTTTCACCCTTTCAGGGATGATTAGGATAAATTACCACTAAGGGAAATGGAAACACACAAAAATGGAAGGAAAATGTTTTCAAGAAACTGCTAAAATGTTGTGGGAGCTTCCCGTAGGTCTAGAGCAGGGGTGGGCAACCACCCGGGGGAGGCCTAGAGGAGGGGGCAGCTTTGTAGGGAAAAAGCATTGGGGTTCTTGTGGGTTAAGCAAACAAGGTAATGACCCACATTTCACAACCCAGCAACAAACCATATCAGCAAGTCATGGCTTGTTAGCACAGCTGGGTGCAGTAACCAGAATTTCAACAACCCACGCTTCTTGAACCCAGTCTGAGTTTCACTCACCCTACTCTAGAGAGAGTTCCCTGGGACTGGTTCAGGCAGTGCTCAAGCAAAAATGCGGGTACTGCCATGATCTCCCCTTGAGGCCGGCTTGGAGCAGCAAGGCTTTTCTACGTTCTAGAAGTTTCTACAGCGTTGCTCTGTCCAGGCACAGCCCTTAGGCACATGGCCTCACAGGGAGAGCCTGCACCACTTTTGTTGACAGGCGAAAGGAGAGAAAGATAAGGCAGGGCTGGAAGAGCAATAAAAATAACATCATCCTGAATCGCACAAAATTTGTAGCAAAACCTTAACAAGTGTCAAAAACAACCTGAAGCGGCTTTTTGGCCCCGGTAGCAAATGTGTTGTGACTTGCACTGCACGCAGGAGCGTTCTGTTTCTCTGAGGATCAATTAAAAACTAATTTTGGTGAGATCATCGCATGTGCAGCTTAGGCAGCTCTGAGTGGGAGGCATTCAAAAGGAGAAGCCAACAGGGGAAAAATTATTCTTTGGCTGCAAACAGTGCTGTCTGAAAGACATTAGCGTGAACTTCCAGCACTCTTATGATAAGGGCTTGCAAACTTCCCTTAATTTAACGCAGGACGTTGTTCAGTGAGTCGGACAAGGGCACAGAGAACAGGCAAAGAAGGCCCCTAGCACCTTGAATCCTGAATTCTGCCATGCACTGTGGAACCCCCATAAGCCTCCTTCCCTTAGGCATACAGACAGCCCTTGGAAGCAGCCATAACACAGTGGACCTTTGCATGCGAAATGTTGTTTGCGCCAACTCCAAAACTCCGGGCCGGCTGACAGATGACCATGCCCAGCGTACTCAAGCGACTTCATTTCCCCCCAACTGGCATTTCCGCTTGAAAAGGTTTTTGTAGTACTATGCAAACCAGCACTTCCTGATTCTCAGAGAAGACAGTAAGGAGCTGCATACCATCATCAACGATGGCTTTAATGCGCCTTTTTCAACTTTCAGGCTACCATTTGTTTCCACCCTATATAAGCAAGGAACCACAAAGAAAGGAAGTGGTTTTTTTAACCTAGAATAACTGGCCGTATCAACTACGACGACACCTGCTTTTCTGAAACTGCTACCACATTAAGTACCCATGCGTTTTGCTTTTACAGGAAGGAGATCTGAGTAACAGCATAATGACTGTTATGTTGAGGGCCAGTGTGGTGTCGTGGTTAAGAGCATGGGACTGGGACTCAGACGGTCTGGGTTCGAGTCCCCGCTCGGCCATGGAGCCAACTGGGTGACTCTGGGCCAGCCACAGACCCTCAGCCCAACCTGCCTCACAGGGTTGTTGTTGTGGGGATAAGCTGGAGGAGGAGAATGATGTCAGCTGCCTTGAGCCCTTTGTAGGGAAAAGGCAGGATATAAATTGGAAAATAAATATAAATAAATAAATAAAATGACACGAGTGTGGCCTAGTGAATAGAGTATGGGACTGAGACTTAGCAGATCCAGGTTATGCAGGTGGCTCCCTAAGCGACTTTGGGCCAGTTACTGATTCTCAGCCTCTAACTAACCCTGAAGGGTTGTTGTTCTGAAGGTAAAACAGAGTAGGATTCTGCATGCAACCTTGGATGCCTTGCAGGAAAAGAGGAAGGACAGAAAGAAATAAAACTTCCCAAGTTAGAATGTCGATTCCTTGCTGTGGTTTTCTGTCACCCTCTGCCACAGGATGGGGGCTGTGGAGCAAACTTCCACTTTTGGAAGGACCAAGCTAACATGGCAGCCAGGACCCAAGAATACTTGTAAGCTGGAAATGCAAGCAACCAAGGGCTTGCTTTCAGTGGCAATTGTACTCAAGAAGGTGCAGCCAGAAAGTGGCAGAGCCCCTGGTTCTCATGTGGGTAGGACTAACTTCTCGTGGCATTTCTCGGAGAACTGAAAGACCCCCAGGAGAGGGATTGGATACTCCCAGACATGCTGGCCACTTCCTCTCATTAGCAGAAGAGCGGTAAAGTCCACCTGATTGGGATAGGAATCCCCTAACCCTATTTCCTGGATATAAACCCTGCTTTGCTCTCCTAGCTTCCACCTGGTTGGCTCTCAGCTTGGGGGTCTGCTCAGACCTCCAAGCTTCAAAAAGCACTTTCCCCCCAACACATAAAGACTGAGTTTGTATGCATTTTCCCACACATATCCCTTTAGCTGACCTTGCAATTAGTCTACAGAGGGTAACAGGCCCAAAAAAAAAAAGAAAAAAGCTGCTATCAGCTCACTAATTCTACTTCACAGAACATCCATCGTCTCTAAGGCCACTCTTTTCCAGATAATAAAAATTTCTCTGGCTCTGTTTACACATCTGACTTTGAAACAAATGCAATGGAGCAACTCTCATGTGTATCTGCTCCCTTCCTATATATTTTCTACTAAACAAATAGGTATATTTTCCACTCATTCATGCACACCTGAGAATCCAAACAAGTTATATGAGAAGTGCTGGAAAGTCAGGAATCCAGACGCAGACCTTCCACAGAAAATTCCCAATATCTTGAAGAAAGCTACAGCTACAACTCTGAATTAATAAAGCAGTTAGTTTTAAGAATCTCTTTAACAGACTCAAATTGGGCAACAAGTCACCTTTTATATGTAATACTTTTTCACTGAAGAACTAATTAGAATACAGGTGGCAGGACCGTCTTCCCCTTTACTTTTGCACAGGAGCCGATACCCTTGTCATATAGTCCCAGCTAAAACATATCAATGCACCGTCTCAAAGCATACACTGTTCGTCCTCAAGAGAAGTATTTCAGCTATGTGAAAATTTATCCAGATTTAATTGATTAAAATGCATGTGGTTAATCATCTCAAGCCGCAATCCTGTTGCCAGCTAAATGCTCCTTTGAGGGCCCCATGCCGCTGTACCAAACACAGTTCCGCCAGTAACAGGGGGGAAATCTGGGCGGATCGGTG